ATGATTAATTGCGGGTGGGTTGCAGGTGGATGTAGCGGGACATGGCGAGAGGGGTCTGTCTGCAGACCTGGTGCAGTGCAATCTGGGCTGCATCCAATGCTTTTTAATGGACTCGCCTAACCCTACCATTCACAGTGACGTCACTCGCTCCATCGAGTGCATTGTGTCTGACATTGCATCTCTGAGTGATGCAGTCTCAGCTTGCATCATAAAGGCTGCATCCAGATACTATTGGACATGGCAGTGGACCAGTGAAAAAGCAGAGAGTGGATGAGACGGCCAATAATAATGGATGAAGTGCAAGAGTAGCCTACTGTTCAAAGGTTCAGGGTTACACTTTACATTAAGGTTCATTAAATGATGCATTTACTAACATGAACAACACATGTACAGCATTTATTAATCAAAACTGAACATTTACTAATGCATTATTAACAATTAAGTCCATGCTTGTTAACATTAGTTAATGCACCGTGATGAGTTAACATGAACTAACAATGAACTACTGTATTTATATTAACTAACATGAACAGATACTGTAGTAAATGTATTGTTTATTGTTTGTTCATGTTAGTAAATGCATTAATTAACATTAACTAATGAACCTTATTGTAAAGTGTGACCAGGTTCAGTTAGAGGAGTCATCAGAGGAAAATCTGCTCTCGTTCTGGAGAAACAAGACGGCTTAATTCCACGACTGCAGCACCATGCGAGGAGAATGATGTTCATTCCTACAACAAGCGGAGCGAGCGAACGCTCATTCAGTGCAGCTGGCCGTGTTTTGGATGCAATGCAGGCACAGTAGATGCTGTTCTGTTTCAGCAGTGCGAAGAAAACGGCCAAGCAAACACAGCATGGCTGCTGTTTACACTGAAGCGGCACCCTTTTTTTATCTTGTTCCTGTATCTGTAAAAGCTCAGATGTCTTATTGTTACTTTCTGTGTTTGAAAACGAAGAAAATGTTGTCTAAAGACAAACGTCTGTTTTTATAAATACATTTAAAAACGTTTACGATTAACGTATTATTTCACTATCACAGATGCGCTGATTACAGCTCACTGAATCTGCTGTTAATATCCACGCTGACCTATCATCATGCCAAAAACCAAGAATTCAATTATTAAAACTACGATCGTGCGCGGGTCGGGTGCGCATACATACATCAGATGAAACTTTATGTGTGGGCGGGTGGAGGATTCGTATGAAGCCGCGGGTTCGGGTGTCATTTCAGCTGATCTCTAGTTCAAACTGTCCCTGTTTGCATTGTTTGAGTAATATTAAGGGAAAAGTATTTTAAATGCTTTCTAAACCAAAAGAGAAGCATTTAGGAATCAATGAAAGATGTATAAAAGTGTTACGAACGTTACTACAGACCAGAAAACTCTGAACAGACGCTCTCCTAACGCTCCTGGAAGAATGTTTGATCATAACGTTGAATGTAAGCGTTTCACACAGCTAACAACAAATAAAGAACACTGAGCAGAACATTACTCCACACAAGTGTTCACAACATCCCTTCTCAAATGTTGTGTCTTGGAGACTGTGTGGTAGCATTATGGAGCACTACTTTTAGATTTTGGATCTGAAAACATTCATGACATTTAAAAACAAACGCTGTAGAAACGTTAAGCTATAACTGAACATTCGGGAAGAGTTCCTTTAATCTGAATCAGCCAATCAGATGCAGAACAGGGAGGATAATCGACCAATTAGATCCATCAGGAACGTCTCTGGACCAATAGACGAAGAGCATCAGCCGTTATTAAAGTCAAGCAGAAGTGCAAGAGATCTTTCCCCAGTAGCACCCTGCTACCAGTTTCTTTTTTTGTTTTGTTTAGGGGAGCGGGACACACACACACACACACACACACACACTCTCTAAAATCACGTCTAAAAGAATCAAACCTCTGATAAATCTAGATAAATAAGATGACAACTATTCCTCAAGGAATTCAGCTACAGGAAGATTAACACAAGGCTAAAATGTAAAAAAGTAAAACTGTCAGGCGACATCTGGAGAGAATCCGAGTCCCTCCTGAAGAAGCTTCTGAAGCGCCGACACACCGTCTTCAAGACTATCAGTGTGTGCGCGCGGAAGACATTCGATTGGTACGGTTCAGGGTTTTACTCTTAAAAGTGCATGGGAAGTGGAAAAAAGGGGGCTTTGGAATGAAGGATCATGGGAAATCTCTGGGCGGAGGGACTCGAGATTCCAGCGCGACATCAGACTCACAGTTTCATTCACTATTGGTTACCAATATATCAACATCTGTCCTGAGGGACCAAGTCACACTTTGTAAAATTCAGTGTAAGATTCAGCAACTGAACAAACATGAAACATCTAGCAAACCTCCGAGCCGAGACACCCAAACAATCATGAAGCAGCCAAATGTTGTTCTGCAACCAAACCGATGAAAAACGGACAGACGAAAACCACAAACGTACGACATTCTTGAGTTTCTCTACAGCGTTCCTTTTACTCCTATGGGTCGTTTTTGGTCTCCAGCGTCTTTTTTTCTTCTTCGTTCGGATTCTGACACTTGGATTGGTCGGATTGATCGTCGGTGTCGCCGGATTGGTCCAGCTCTCTGTCAATCACAGCCAGGGGACCAATCAGAGGCAGCGCTGAGGAGGGAACAGGACTGCCCTCTGTCTTGCTGCCGTTAACAGTCCTGAAAGCACGAATGAAGGTCAGCGTCAACAGCTCTTACTATTGTAAATCAATTAAACTCTAATCATGACACACTGTATATGGTTGGAAAGGTCTAACTCTTCGGAATAGAGATTTTACTGCTGTTTCAAGATATGCAGGAAGAGAAATAGATTAAAACACATTTACTGTCACCCTATATATAACCTGCGGGAATATTTTCGTTTACATTTTTAAACCATATTATTATAACATAAACAAAGCAGTCATGACAAACTGTTTATCATTTGAAAGCTTAACATTTCTAGTTTACATATCTAGTGACTGAATTTTGCTAAATAATATTGAGAAACAGTTTTTTGTTAATCTGCAATAAGGATACTCGTCAGAGTAAAGCATTACTTTGCTACAGCAATCAATTTGTAACATGTTTTTAGAGGCTAAATTCAAATCAATTACCACCAACCTGCCCATACTACTTAAGAAATATTGTCAAAAGTATGAAAAAATATGCTTTATGCTCCTCAAAACACTACTTACACTACATTATATGCACACTAATGTAAACTGAAAGTCATCTGGTGGTCATGTCTGTTATTGCAGCCAAATTAAATAGTACTGAAGGGCTCAAACTGATTTTGTAAAATACATATTTACTGTTATATAATAAAATATACATTTATTGTTATATTATTTTCATAAGACGATGAACTTTTTTTTTGACTTTTTGAACTTTTTTTTTTACATCAGCTACAATCTGACGAGTGTCTTCCTTAAAATTACAACAACCTTAAATCTATGATGCAGCAAAGCATTGAAGATCGGCAATCATTAAAGGTAAACATTTCATGTTCATATCTATGTTCAAAAGTGTATCTGTGTGTGTGTGTGTGTGTGTGTGTTGGGGCTGGTAAGCTCATGTCAGTGGTGTGTAAACTATAGAAAAGGTGAACAAATCAGCACACAGTTTTAATATGACAACCTACATGGCCGTCATCAGATCACACAGGAGAGCTCAAGATATAGTTACTCTACACATCACACCTGCAAACAATAATCCCCTCAATCAACCAATGAGTGAGCAAACAAGAAGAGTGCTGTGTAGACTCACATGCCGTGTCGGAGGACGTGTCGTTCCCATTCTGTGCTCAGTGTGAACGTGCGGCCGCAGAACTCGCATGGAAAACGCTTCACTGCAACGCTGCCTGGAGATTCTGGAGACGCAACATCTGCAGCATCTACAACAACAAGACCAGACACAAGATCTGAGAAAGAATCATTGCTAGACAACTAGAACACTTCAGCAGTCATTCTCAGAGATATGTATACATTTATAAGGTGCTCATCTAAAGTGTTTTGAATACAAGCTATACGTTTGATATATTCAGCGCTATATTCTGATCACACACACCAAACCATGCGGTTATAATCATAGCTCTATCTATCTATCTATCTATCTATCTATCTATCTATCTATCTATCTATCTATCTATCTATCTATCTATCTATATTACACTTTATAATATTTCCGAAAACATGCTTGTTTTTATTCTGAAAACAGTATTGACATGATAGCATCACGCAGTTGCTGCAGATCCATGATGCCAATCTCCCGTTCCACCACATCCCAAAGCTGCTCTATTGGATTGAGCTCTGGTGACTGTGGAGGCCATTTGAGTACAGTGAACTCATCGTCATGTTCACCAGTCTGAGATGATTGAGCTTTATGACATGCTGCGTTATCCTGCTGGAAGTAGCCATCAGAAGATGGAGACACTGTGCTCATAAAGGGATGGACATGGTCAGCAGCAATACTCAGGTAGGCTGTGGCGTTGATGCTCAATTGGTACTAATGGACCCAAAGAAAATCTCCCCCACACCATTACACCACCACCACCAGCCTGAACCGCTGATACAAGGCAGGATGATCCATGCTTTCATGTTGTCTGAGTCGAGCATCTGAATGTGTCAGCAGAAATGGAGACTCATCAGAGCAGCAACGTTTCTCCAATCTTCTATTGTCCAGTTTTGGTGAGTCTGTGTGAATTGTAGCCTCAGTTTCCTGTTCTTAGCTGACAGGAGCGGCACCCGGTGTGCTCTTCTGCTGCTGTAGCCCATCCGCCTCAAGGTTGGCCGTGTTGTGTGTTCAGAGATGCTCTTCTGCAGAGCTCAGTTGTAGCGAGTGCTTATTTGAGTTACTGTTGCCTTTCTATCAGCTGAACCAGTCTGGCCATTCTCCTCTGACCTCATCAACAAGGCATTTGCGCCCACAGAACTGCCGCTCACTGGATATTTCCTCTTTGTCAGAGCATTCTCTGTAAACCCTAGAGATGGTTGTGCGTGAAAATCCCAGTAGATCAGCAGTTTCTGAAATACTCACAAATAGTGTCTTAAATCCCCTTTCTTCCCCATTCTGATGCTCGCTCTGAACTGCAGCAGATTGTCTTGACCATGTCTAAATGCCTAAATGCAGTGAGCTGCTGCCATGTGATTGGCTGAAATCTGCGTTAATGAGCAGCTGAACAGGTGTACCTAATAAAGTGGCCGGTGACTGTATATTACAATCCCATACAGCATAACATGCAGTTATATTTATATAAATTACTATATATATTCTTATCTATCTTTCAATTCACTTCATTTTTGTTCTCAAAAACAATGTTATTCTATTTTTATTTCTTTTATTAATTATAGGATCTAAAAATCACCTTTAAACTTTAAACTCGTGTGTAAACAACATTTTAAATCTGCCTTTATTTTCATTCTGGAAATGCAGTCTACAACATTGAATTAACATTTTTCAGCAGATGAAGAAGTTTATCTGTTACCTGCGTCCTCAGTCTGGCAGCTGGTCTCCTCCTGTCTGTCCTCCGGCAGCTTCTCCTCCTCTTCCTCCTCCATTGGCAGCTCTTCCTCTTCCTCTGCTTCCTCCTCCACAGGCTCTGTTTCCTCTCGCTCCTCTTCCTCACTGCTGCTCATGTCCTTCATCTTGTCCTTCAGGAGGTCCAGCTGGTCCAGGTTCACTCGACCCACCAGCTCATAGTTGCGGATCACCTGCAGACCAACAGTACATGAGTGAGCGAGAGATAACAGAGACGAGAGAGAAAAACGAGAAACAGAAGAGACGGGAGAACAACGGGATCAGAAGAGACAAGAGTGAAATGAGAAACAGAAGAGACGGGAGAACAACGGGATCAGAAGAGACAAGAGTGAAATGAGAAACAGAAGAGACGAGAGAGAGAAAACAGGAAACAGAAAAGACGAGTGAGAAAAGCGAGAAACAGAAGAGACGAGGGAGAAAAACGAGAAACAGAAGAGACGAGGGAGAAAAACGAGAAACAGAAGAGACGAGAGAGAAAAACGGGAAACAGAAGAGACGAGAGAGAAAAACGAGAAACAGAAGAGACGAGGGAGAAAAACGAGAAACAGAAGAGACGAGAGAGAAAAACGAGAAACAGAAGAGACGAGGGAGAAAAACGAGAAACAGAAGAGACGAGGGAGAAAAACGAGAAACAGAAGAGACGAGAGAGAAAAACGAGAAACAGAAGAGACGAGAGAGAAAAACGAGAAACAGAAGAGACGAGAGAAAAACGGGAAACAGAAGAGACGAGAGAGAAACGAGAAACAGAAGAGACGAGAGAGAAAAACGAGAAACAGAAGAGACGAGAGAGAAAAGTGAGAAACAGAAGAGACGAGAGAGAAAAGTGAGAAACAGAAGAGACGAGAGAGAAACGAGAAACAGAAGAGACGAGAGAGAAAAGTGAGAAACAGAAGAGACGAGAGAGAAAAGTGAGAAACAGAAGAGACGAGAGAGAAAAATGAAAAACAGAAGAGACGAGAGAGAAAAATGAGAAACAGAAGAGACGAGAGAGAAAAATGAAAAACAGAAGAGACGGGAGAGAAAAGTGAGAAACAGAAGAGACGAGAGAGAAAAATGAGAAACAGAAGAGACGAGAGAGAAAAGTGAGAAACAGAAGAGATGAGAGAGAGAAATAAGAAACAGAAGAGACGAGAGAGAAAAATGAGAAACAGAAGAGACGAGAGAGAAACGAGAAACAGAAGAGACGAGAGAGAAAAACGGGAAACAGAAGAGACGAGGGAGAAAAACGAGAAACAGAAGAGACGAGGGAGAAAAACGAGAAACAGAAGAGACGAGAGAGAAAAATGAGAAACAGAAGAGACGGGAGAGAAAAATGAGAAACAGAAGAGACGAGGGAGAAAAACGAGAAACAGAAGAGACGAGAGAGAAAAACAAGAAACAGAAGAGACGAGAGAGAAAAACGAGAAACAGAAGAGACGAGAGAGAAAAGTGAGAAACAGAAGAGACGAGAGAAACGAGAAACAGAAGAGACGGGAGAGAAAAACGAGAAACAGAAGAGACGAGAGAGAAAAGTGAGAAACAGAAGAGACGAGAGAAACGAGAAACAGAAGAGACGGGAGAGAAAAACGAGAAACAGAAGAGACGAGAGAGAAAAGCGAGAAACAGAAGAGACGAGAGAGAAAAGTGAGAAACAGAAGAGACGAGAGAAACGAGAAACAGAAGAGACGAGAGAGAAAACTGAGAAACAGAAGAGACGAGAGAGAAACGAGAAACAGAAGAGACGAGAGAGAAAACTGAGAAACAGAAGAGACGAGAGAGAGAAACCTTTCTATTTCGCTACAACCAAACCCGCTTTTTAAGATCTCTAAACTCAGGGCTTCTGGTAGTCCCCAGAATATCAAAGTCCACTAAAGGAGGTCGAGCTTTTTCATTTATGGCTCCTAATCTCTGGAATAGCCTTGCTGATAATATCTGAGGCTTAGCTATAAAGACCTGAACATGTCAGATGGTTTGGGCAGTTTGCCTGTGACCATCTGGGCTTTGTCATCAAGCATGTATCCAGTAATAAAGTCTATCTTCTGGTTCTGAAAACCTGATTAATTATTAGAATGGAACCACGACAAAGACAGTGGAGATACTGGAGAGATGAGGGGGAGACCGTGGAGAGATGAAAAAGATGAAGAGCGCTGACCTTGTGCTGGTCCTGCAGGTGCGTCTCCAGCTCGTGCAGGAGTTTGCTATCGTAATAGCAGAGCTGACACTGATACGGCTTCAGCTCCTCATGCTTCTGGATGTGCTGCTGCAGGTTCTGCTCGCTGGAACAGGTGAAGGTGCATTTATGGCATCTGAATACCAGACCCTCCAGATGACGAGACAGCTTCGAGCGCGAGATCTCCAGCGGCACCACACGCTCCTCTGAGAACACACACACACACACACACACACACACACACACACAGTCATCAGACCGGTGGATAATAATGGAAATATTCTAATCATGTTTCCCTCGTATATTTCAATCTGCAACAATAAAGGGAACTTCAATGAAGACACGTTTGGAGATTAACTTCTGAACGCAGAATTAAATAAAAATAAATAATAATACCTTACACTTCTCATAACATTTACAGTTGAAGTCAGCATTATTAACCCTCCTGTATATTTCTGTTTAACATAACGTATTTCTAAACATATTAGCTATATTCATCCATCTCTTGTCGGCTTAGTCCCTTTATTAATCAGTGGTCGCCACAGCGGAATGAACCGCCAACTTATCCAGCAAGTTTTATTGTAAGTTGCATTGGATACATGAGTGAGGAGTCTGCTATATGAGTAACTGTGAATCCTCCTTTGTGCAGCAGGACAGATTGGATGCTGACCTCTGTGCAGGACGATGTGGTCGATCATGCTGCTCTTGTGTTTGGTGTGATACAGACAGAACGGACATCGTAACTCTTTCTGCGGCTCCTCAGCGGCGCCGGTGGTGCTGCTGCTGCTGTGACCACCTTCAACGTGCAGCGTGAACGTGGACCTGAAAACACAGCACATGGAGAGTAATGAAGACCAAGCAAACACACAACAGATTCCAAATCTGCACGACTGAAGATTAACAAAGACAAAAGAAACACACAGCATGGGTTACATGCACAAGCAAATACGCACCCGGAGGAAACCCACGCCAACACGGGGAGAACATGCGAACTCCACACAGAAACACCAACTGACCCAGCCGGGACTCAAACCAGAACTCACTTGTTGCAGGTGAAGAAGGTGCAGTCTTTGCACTTGAAGAGCTTCTTTCCTCCGTGCCGGTCTCGGTAGTGTCTGCGCAGACTCTGCATGTATCCGGAGCTGAACTCGCAGAACTCGCAGGTGAGGATGGATTCGGGCCGGGCCTGCGGGAGCGCGGTGTCAGACGGACTGGAGGAAACATCGCTCTGAACACGAGACGACAGCTGGAAATGACTGATCTGCTGCTGCACATCTGCCGGCTCCAGATATGCAGACTCTGAGAGAGAGAGAGAGAGAGACAGAGACATCACTGTCAGATTCAGATGCTGAACACCTGCTGTATACACCTGTGCAGGAGCCGACAAGCACACAACTATACACACAAACACAACTATACACACAAACAGATTACCAAACCACTACACACACACAAACACAACAAACAGAACCACACATTTTAGATAATGATACGAAACAACCAATCAAACCACTCATTTCACAAAATAACCAAGTAAAATCACTCATTTCCCACAACTATATGCAAATAACCAATCAAAAGCACTCATTTTACACAACTAAATGCAACTAACCAATCAAAACCACTCATTTCACACAACCAATCAAAACCACTCATTTCACACAACTAGCCAAATAAAACCACTCATTTCACACAACTAACCAATCAAAACCACCCATTTCAGACAATTAGCCAATCAAAACCCCTCATTTGAAACAACTACATGCATCTAGCCAATCAATACCACTCATTTCACACAACTAACCAATCAAAACCACTCATTTCAGACAACTAACCAAACAAAACCACTCATTTGAAACAACTACATTCATCTAACCAATCAAAACCACTCATTTCAGACAACTAACCAAACAATACCACTCATTTCACACAACAAACCAATCAAAACCACTCATTTCAGACAACTAACCAATCAAAACCACTCATTTGAAACAACTAAATGCAACTAACCAATCAAAACCACTCATTT